CGCCTGCAGCAGCTGGCGTGGCGCTCGCTTCAGCGGCGAATGCAACTTCACGGGCACCAACATTCGGAAGCTCCTCTCGGCGGCGGAACTTAAGGCTGGCGGGCTCGTGAGCGGGCTGAAGACCACCGGCTACTCCTGCAGCGAGGCGAAGGCGGCGGGATACACGCCCAGCGAGTGCCACATCGGAGGCTTCTCGTTCGAGGAAGGCCGCGGCGCAGGCTTCAAGCACAACGCCAGTTATTGGGATAGAGTAAAATCATGGGGTTGAGAGATTGTTTGTAAAACATGGAACACTACTCTCGCAATAAGAGAGATTGTCATTAAAATGAACTCCGGGGGTGGTGCAGGTGGCACATTCGACGCGCGGGGCACAAGCGAGCACGCCACGGGGCAGGGGCCAGGGGGGGGATTTTACAGAGCGGAGAAAGGAGGTGGAACTCCTTGGCACACACGAGAACTTGGAGCACTTGGAGTGCAGTCAGTAGCCTCACATCCAGGGCCGGGGAGCTAAGAAGCGCACCCAGCGGGCCAGATGATCGGGATCGGGCTACGGGCAAGAGAGCCCTGACCCCTAGGGCAACATTGTTTTGAGCTAGCCTTCGATGTTATGAAACAAACGCAAGGCGGACACTCAGAAAGAAAGAAAGAAAGAAAACAGACAAACCCAGACGAGGGATGGGGGAGGAGGACAGGGTCCCCACCTGCACGAGCAGGATTTTGGAAGGACGATCAGGGGGACAGGTGGGGCTCTCCTGCTCCTGACAAGGGACACTCATAGGAGCACTTGGAGACAGCACACTCATTTTTTTACGAAAGGCAGCGTGCGGGGCCACGTGCCACGTGCCAACATACCTGTGTACGAGTGGGCGCTGCTCAACACACTGCCCCCCGGGGGGGCACATACACAACATGTCAGCGGTTCAACTCGCCGGACACGCGCTCGCTCGCGCCGACGAGCTCGAGCGCCAGCTGGCAGAGCACAGCTTATATATTGACGGTCCAAAAGGCCGCTCGCGTGGACGAGGTTGAGAAGCGGCTCGCGGAGCAGAGCTTGGCTGTGCAACGGGCGGAAGCGAGTGCGGCCGCCGAGGCCACCCGAGTGGTTGGACGAATCGACGTCCTCGAGCAATCTACGACTGCAAAGCTCCGCGACGCGACAGAACTCGGGCAGGCACTGCGTGCTCAGGTGGCGGAGGTGCAAGCGCACGTGGCAAAGCTCGACGCTGCAAACCGGCTCGTCAGCGCGCTGCAGGCGCAGGTGACGACGCTTCAGGCCCGCGTCGCGGAGCTTGAGCGGCGGCCAAAGCTGTCTGGCAGCGGCAGCTCGCGGCCGGCCACTTGCGACGAGATGGAGGCGAGGATTGAGGCGCTCGGCGAGTTCCGGCGCAAGGGCCACGGCAGCAGCCTCGCTCGCGCCGCCGGCTACTC